TATTTTTCTTATTTTTATCTAGTAAATAAATAAATTTATATTCCTAAATTATCTTGAACTCAAAAATCTCTTTTCCACACGAACTCTAATTTGTAAAAAAAATCTATAATAACATTAAAAAAATAAAAAATACAAATATAAACAATATATATATATATATATATATATATATATATATATATATATATATATATATATATATAGATGTTTCATGATTAAAATTAATAGACGCATAGTAAAAAAATAAATACATAATATTACAACCATTTAAAATAAATAAGCCAATTTCAAATAAGTTTAAAATAAATTTAAGGTTAAATAACAATTTTATTATTAATTAAATAATATATGTCCAAAAATTAAGTTAAGTCATACTATAGTCAATAAAGCGACTGTGCTAGAACCACGGAACTCGAGAGGTGCCTAACACCTTCCCCTCGGTCAACAGAATTCCTTACCCGAATTTCTAGTTCGTATACCAATAAATTAGAGTCAAATTTCCTTTTGATTAGGGATTCAAATAAGGTGACTTGGAACATCAAAACTCAATTCAAGTGACGACTCTAAATAATAATTATCTCTTTTCAAAATGTCACTTTAATTGAAAAAAAATCTTTTTCTTTCAAACAATAAAAAATCAAAATATTGAGAGAGAAAAAAAAGGGGCGTGACAGATGGCGACTCCGCTGGGGATTAACTAGAATTAGAGCTTTAAATATTAATTTATGTATGATTATAACTTACATATTTACGCTTTTGGATATTGTATTTATTTTAACTTAATATGCTAATTGTTTATTTATTTAATGTTTTAATAATATTTGAATTGAGTTATAACTGTCTTCTCTCACGAACCATTCTGAGTCTTTAATACAAATATGATGAGAATTGCAACTATGCACCCCACTGCTGTCAAGATAGCCAGTGGATCTTCGGTCCATGGTGAAGGATATTTAGTCACACCATTTTAGGATAGGGAGCACTCATACACAAAGCCGGAAAGCGCTGCTACTGGTACGTTGCTACTCCCTGACTCGAGTTGCCCGCTCGTTTTACAGCCAGTCTAGATATAGTAGAATTGGAACTTTCTGACATGATATCCTTACTAGGTTCCGATTTATTTGCATCATGTGCATGTAACTTAGCGAAATTTAGCATAGGGGCCCAATCTGACAAGGACATATATCTCTTCGTGAGACCATCATGTGCATTTTGTGCTACTTGTTGCATCATGTGAAGACTGTAAAAAATGTTGACCGGCTTTAGGATAATCGACTAAATAAATAAATATTTATTTTCTACCCATTTTCAACCAATGATTCAAAATAAACAAATTAATATATATATATATATATATATATATATACGTACACACCTAATCCTCAATTTTATGTTTCACTTTTATTAATACATAAATAATAAATATAATAATATTAATAATATATGTATATATGTCTTTTGAATTGTACATATACACATTTTTTTCAAAATTGTTCATTCTTTTCGAAAACAACCTAAATCAATGACCACTTTAGACATTCCGATTCATTTTTATTTTTATTTTTTAAACTACTCCAATAAATAATTTTGAATTATAAAAAATTTTCACAATTAAAGTTGATTTTGGAAATCCAATTTTCTTTTTTCTCAACCAGGTAATCATGAGATCTATGAGGTGTGATAAAAGACCAAGGGATGAACTAGTCGAAATGGTCAATGATCCCCCAAAGTTTATGATCACAGATAAAACCCCACAATTACTAATGGATTGGTGGAACGATATGCATGAATTTAGGCGGACTGAGATATTCAAACATCTTGGTTTCCTTACAGATATCATGAGATTTAGTCCTGACAGAGGTTTGATCGAGGCTTTGATTCCATTTTGGGACTCCACAAATAATGTGTTTCGATTTAGTGATTTTGAGTTGACGCCTACATTAGAAGAATTGGGTGGTTTCACAGGCTTAGGCCAGAATCTTCGAACTAAAACACTGATAACCCCTAGGAGTGTCAGCAGAGGTAAATTTCTAGAACAGATGCACATCATCCATCCTCATAAGGAGTGTGAGTGTTTTGATAATTGGTTGGTTTCTTTGGAATTCTTGTACTTAAGATATGGAAAGAAGGAAAGATTTTCAAGCTATGAAAATTAACTTAAAAATGGACAACACCTCCCTACTTGGGAAAAACATAGACAAGAAGCATTCATGGTAGCATTCTTGGGAGCTATGGTTTTTCCAAGGAAGGATAAAAAAATTGATATTCGTCTGTCAGGAATAGTCACTGTTATGATAAAGAAAAGAAAATCCACTATATTGCCGATGATGTTTGCTGATATTTATCGTGCTTTGACTAAATGTAGAGAGGGGGGAGATTTTTTTGAAGGTTGTAGCATTTTATTACAAATGTGGTTTTTAGAGCACCTATATCGCCATCGTTTTGCGACAGATTCCAAATCCGATTGGACGAATTATATTTTGAGCCACCCAGAAAGGATAAAAGAATTAGGAGACAAATTGCCAAAAGGTGTCAAAGCATGGAGACATTATCTTCTTAAACCGACGACATCTAAAATTACATGGAACTATCATTGGTTTCCTGCTAGTGAGGTAATTGTTATGTCTTCCTATCGTCCATTCTTCGTTCTGACAGGCCTTCGTGGGTTCCAACCATACAATAACCCTTCGAGTTCTACGCCAACTAGGACAAAAATAAATTTTACCTAAAGCCGAGGATACGCGGAATTTTGTGAGGGAAGTAGCATTTGAAGATCGAGATCGAGAATCAGAAGCTCAAAAGATTTGGAGATTTGGGGTGGTACTCGAACTTTAAGGTCGAAAGCTATGGTTGATGATCGTGTTGAAGAAGAAGTTTACCCCTTATACCTCCATTGGTTCTTTGATCAAACCCCTCTCAAAATAATGCCCGAAGGATCAACGCGAGCAATCATAGATCGAGAAGAGGAAATTGAAGTAAGAATCAAGCAGGCCCGACTCGAGGTGGAAAGAAATTATAGGTCTACTTTAGATATCCTAAGCAAAGACCTAATAAATGTTAAAGAAGAGTTGGCTCGACGTGATGCAATATTCGAGGAAAGAGTTACTTTGATTGAAAAAAGGGTTGAAAAGAAGCATCTATCTACTATTCGAACCCTACATGAAGATTTGGGCATTGTCACAGGTGCTATGGAGCAACAGGAGGAAGAATATAAGAAAGAAAAGAGCCTCTTAATACATGTGCAAGCTAGGTTACAAAATCAATTAAAAGCCTCTATGGGACGAGAGAGGGACATCGCAAACCGTTTCACATTGTACCAAGCAGAAGTGGCGACCGAAAGAAATCAATGGACGGAAGAGCCTGAAGAATTTCATAACCAAATTGAAGAGCTTCAAGCACATGAAGAGCATCTGAGTGATACAGTTATCACTACTGAAGAATGGTTGCAGAACTGTCACGAGAATATGGAGGAGGCGAAAGGACAAGTGCTTCAGTTGAAAGAGAGCTTAATTGATGTTTATGGTAGTCATCTCCATCGGAGTGATGAGAGCCTGGGTCGAGAGGCGCGTGCATTAGCCTCACATCTGCCGAAAGCTTTGTTCAAGGTCTACTCTAGCCTAGGGGGCAATTGATGATCAAGAAATGTCGGAGATGGATTTTTTTATTTATTTTTTTACTATTATTATTTTTCCCTCTTTTTAGTTCGTCAAATTCTGTTTTAATAAGTACTTTGATGTTTTATTTTGGTTATTTTGATTTGAATGGTATTTTCAAGTTAAACAAATGTTGTATTTTTCTTTTGAAAGAAATTTATCCACATGAACTACGTAATGATCTGATTCATGTTCAAACATGATACGTAGGCAACCTTTAATAGGTTCGATCAAAATGCATTCAAATTATTCAAGTAAGTAAAGTAGGGGACCAAATGACATAAGCAAGTCGTCCAAAGCCGGGATGAAACATAAAAGTTTTCCAAAAACACATTATAGACATATGAAAATCTAGGTGCATAACATACAACGTGAATTTAATATCCTTAATATGTTGAATCCTAACAAATATTTTTTTTTATATATATGAGAATTTAGAGAGAGTTTAAAAGGTGGTTGGTTTGTGAGGGGAACTGGCATCTCATCAATATAATACAGGATCAAAAGGGAAAGAGAAAATGACACGTAAAGACGGAACAGAGTCGGAAAATGACGACGCACAAACCCAAATGGTTGCGCAAGAATCGGTACCTATAGAAGAGGTGAAAATGTTAAGACAACAGATGACCGAAATGTACGAAGCTTGGATGAATGGGCAAGCTCCTCCACCTTTAATTCAAGAATATTTGAATGTGAATATGCCATTCCCCATCCAATTCTTAACAAGTGACCTGGTTTATCCACCTGGGTTTGGACCATACATTAACACATCTAATACTGCTGGAACTTCCTCGATAAACCCGTTAAAACCATCAATGATGAATAATCCACTTTTCATGCCTACTATCCAAACTAATACGATTCCTCAACCGACACTGGTATGAAAAATCCAATGATGACCCTATACTCAAAGATCAATACGGCCAAGGTCATGCCCCTAAATTAACTTTAAATGTTCCTAACTCTTACCAGCATTAATACGGTTCTCCCATTGAAGTTGAGAAAAACATTAAGAATAAGGAACATGAAGAAATTGCAAGGAAAATGAGGAGTTTGGAACAAAACATAAGAAATATGCAAGGTCTGGGAGGACACAAAAGTGTCTCGTTTAAGGACTTATGCATGTATCCAGATGTTCACTTGCCTTTAGGGTTCAAAACTCCAAAGTTTGATAACTATAATGGTCATGGCGATCCAGTGGCTCATTTGAGAAGATTCTGTAATCAGTTGAGAGGAGCCGGAGGAAAAGAAGAATTTCTTATGGTTTAGTTTGGAGAGAGTTTAACGGGCATAGCATCAGAATGGTTTATCGATCAGGACGTTTCTCATTGGCACGTTTGGGATGATATGGCACAAGATTTTGTCCAACAATTTCAATACAATATCGATATTATTCCCGATCGCAATTCCCTGGCTAATATGAAAAAGAAGCCATCAGAAAGTTTTAGGGAATATGCCATAAGATGGAGGGAGCAGGCGGCTAGAGTCAAACCGCCGATGAAAGACTATGAGTTAATTGATGTTTTTCTCCAAGCTCAAGAACCTGACTACTTTCATTATCTTCTCTCCGCAATGGGCAAGCCTTTCGCCGAAGCGATTAAGATCGGAGAAATGGTAGAGAATGGCATAAAGTCGGGTAAGATTGTGAGTCAAGAAGCCATTAGAGCTACCACACAAGTAATACAAAGTGGATCCGGTAATTTTACCAATCGAAAAAAGAAGGAGGAAGGGTCCATGGCGGCATCTGGATCAAGAGATGTTCAAATAGGCATGAACAATCCTTATTGTCAAGTCCAACAAGAACAATATAATTCTCCTCGGCATTATTACCCGTTCCAATATGCAGTTCTCAATACTCAGGCATATGTCCGGCCTCCTTCGCGCCAACAATGGCAGGGGCCTGCCCCACAAGTTTCTTACCCACAACAACAAAATTTCCAGGCGCCATACAATCCACGTCCCCGGACAAACTATACGAGAGAACAAGGTCAAAAAGAAAATTTTACCCCAATTGGGGAATCGTATACGAATTTGTTACAGAAATTGATACAATTGAGACTAGTTGAACCTGTCAATCCGTACGTTGTCAATCCAAATGCAAGAGGTTTTGATCCGACTGTTATATGTCAATATCATGCCAACGCTCCAGGTCATAGCACAGAGAATTGTTGGACCCTAAAAAGAGTCATTGAGAAGTTAATTGAGGATAAGGTAATCGAGGTACGCAATGAGGACACACCGAATGTCACCAATAACCCACTCCCTGCTCATAATAATGAGCGTGTTGTGGGGATGGTTGGCATTTTTGAAGATTATGAGCAAACAAGTAGAACAAAATTGGAAAGCAAGGTTTCAAGAAAAGAGTCTAGTATAGTTTTAGAACCTATAAAAAGGGCACTAATAATTGATAAAGGTGCGCGTTCGAATTTTGGGAACTCGAAGAAGCTAGTGTTGTATGTCCCTGAGTCTATAAAAGGAGGAGACGTACCGTTGAATGGACCAAAATGCTACATTCCTGGTAAATTTTCAACGTTTGATCAAAATCAAAAAGGTATGAAAGATCCAGTTGTGATACAAATTGCAGCACAACTTCCTATCACAAACACCAAGGCCGTTCCGTGGAACTACAACAAAGTCATCGTTACTCACCAGGGAAAGGAGATTGTTGAAGAAACAAATGAAACAAGAGGCTTAACTCGTTCCGGAAGATGTTATGCTCCGGAAGAATTAAGGAGGGACAAACAAATCAAAGAAAATCAGTTGCCGATGTAAAAACCAGTCACTGAGGAAGATGCTGAAGAGTTTCTAAAAAAGATGAAAGCTCAAGATTATTCTGTTATAGATTAGTTAAGGAAAACGCCTGCTCAAATCTCTTTATTGTCGTTACTCATACATTCTAAAGAGCATCGTGAAGTGCTGACCAGAATTTTGAATGAGGCACATATATACAAAAATATTACAGTAGGTCACTTGGAAAAGATGGTCAATCAAATTTTTGAGGTAAATAGAATCACTTTCCCTGATGATGAATTGCCCTTGGAAGGATCTGGACATAATAGGGCTCTACATTTGACCGTGAAATGTGAAGAACACTATGTGAAGAGAGTCATGGTCGATGGAGGATCAGGTGTAGACATATGCCCTCTTTCCACTCTACAAAGCTTGAAAATCAACACTGATAGGATTCGTACTAATAATGTTTGTGAACGGGCATTTGATGGTGCAAAACGGGATACTTTTGGTGAAATATACTTAATTGTTACAATTGGACCAGCGGAGTTTGGAATCACTTTCCAAGTTATAGACATGGACACGTCTTACAATCTGCTTTTGGGTAGGCCATGGATCCACATGGCTAGAGCTGTGCCATCTACTCTACACCAAGTGGTCAAGTTTGAACATGACAAATAAGAAATCATTGTCCATGGTGAAGATGATCTCCCGATCACCCGAGATCCTTCAATACCAAGCATTGAGGCTAAAAGAGGTTGTGAATCCCTCAACTATCAGGCTCTAGAGATAATAACGGTTAATCAGTTCTTAGAAGGAAATCCTATCCTCCAACCTCGTCTGTCCTCTACTTCAGTCATGGTGGTGGCTCAAATGGTACAAAATGGCTATGAACCTGGAAAGGGGTTAGGTTTGTCGTTGCAAGGAATTGTGAATCCTATCAGTCCAATGGGTAATCAAGATACATTTGGTTTGGGTTTCAATCCAACTATATTTGATAGAAAATGGGCAGAAGATCGTAAAAGAAATGCTTGGAATCTGTCGAAGCTGATCCCCCATATCGCTCAATCTTTCATTAAATCTCAAGGTGAACCGTGTCCAGACTTACCAATCCAAAATGATGAGGATGAAATATGTCAAGGTATAAAGGAAATGTTTTATGAGGTAAATTGCAGTTTATCGGCCCGAATGTCCAACTCAATAACTGGAAAGCCACTCCTCTCCCTACAAAAAAAGAGTCATGGTAGTTTTATTTTGCTGTTTTTAATTTTATTTTTCTTGGATTATTCTCAGGGTTGTAATTCAAACATTCTAGTTGTATCACTTTATTGTTAACCCTTCTATCCTTTCCCATTCAATGCAATAAAGTTCTAGTCATCTTCTGCGTTCCTACTCTTTCTAATATTTGTCATCTTATTTTCATTTCAGTTACGTTAACTTTAATAATATGACATGCATGCGGAGTTTACAATTAGATCCTAAAAAGTTGTCTGATCTCATAACAATGAATCCTAAGTCTAAGGAATATGATGAAGATGAAGCTGATGAAGAAATTAAAAGGGGTTTGGATCAATTTGAAAATAAGCCTAAACCTAAGTTAAGTGAAACGGAGGTGTTTAATTTGGGAACTCCCGAAGAAGTGAAAGAAATAAAGATAATCATTCATGTCGATCGAACTATTCGAGACGACATAATGCAAGTTTTAATTGAATACAAAGATGTCTTCGCTTGGTCATACGATGACATGCCTGGGTTAAGTGCTGATTTGGTAGTTCACAAACTTCCCATACATCCTGATTTTCCACCTGTCCAGCAAAAGCAAAGAAAATTTAAGGCAGATATAAGCGATAAAATCAAAGAGAAAATCATGAAACAACTGAATGCAAAAGTGATCAGGGTCGTCCGATACACTACTTGGTTGGCTAATGTTGTGCCAGTACCAAAAAGGGATGGAAAGATCAGAGTTTATGTTGATTATCGAGATTTAAACAAAGCAAGTCCAAAAGACAATTTTCCACTACCCAACATTCATATCTTGGTTGAAAATTGTGCTTAACACGAGATTCAATCTTTCATGGATTGCTATGCCGGATATCACCAAATTCTCATGGATGAAAAAGACGCAGAAGAAACTGCTTTCACTACCCCGTGGGATACATATTGTTATAGGGTCATGCCATTTGGTCTAAAAAATGCAGGGGCAACCTATTTGAGAGCTATGACTACAATATTCCATGACATGATGCATAAAGAAGTTGAGGTATATGTTGATGATGTCATCATTAATCTAGAACGCAAATTGACCATGTGCGTGATCTAAGAAATTTTTTCGAAAGGTTGAGAAAGTACAATCTCAAGCTTAATCCGGCTAAATGTGCATTTGAAGTTCCATCTGGCAAGCTTTTGGGTTTTATAGTTAGCCGAAGAGGCATTGAATTAGACCCCTCCAAGATAAAGTCCATTCGAGAATTGCCACCTCCAAAAAGCAGAACTGAAGTCATGAGTTTTCTGGGAAGGTTAAACTATATCAGCCGATTCATCGATCAACTCACTACTACATGCGAGCCGATATTCAAGTTATTGAAAAAGGATGCTGCTATTAAATGGACAAGTGAGTGTCAAAATGCTTTTGACAAAATTAAGGAATATTTATCAAATCCTCCAGTTCTGGTCCCCCAGAGCCTGGTAGGCCTTTGTTTTTATACCTCTCGGTAACGGATAATTTTTTTGGTTGCGTTCTAGGACAACATGACGTCACGAGGAAAAAGGAACAAGCCATCTATTACTTGAGCAAAAAGTTCACATCCTATGAGGCAAAGTACACTCTATTAGAAAAAACATGTTGTGCTTTAACTTGGGTCGCCCAAAAATTGAAGCACTATTTTTTGTCCCACACCACTTACCTCATATCTCGAATGGATCCTCTGAAATATATTTTTCAAAAGGCCATGCCGACGGGTAGGTTGGCAAAATGGCAGATTTTTCTTACCCAATTTGATTTTGTGTATGTTACTCGCACCGCCATTAAAACACAAGCGTTGGCCGATCATCTGGCAGAGAATCCGATTGATGATGAATACGAACCCTTAAAGACATACTTCCCTGATGAAGAGATCAACTTTATTGAGGAAGAAATTCCTGATAAGGACCCCGTATGGAAATTATATTTTGATGGGGATGTCAACAAAAACGGAGTGGGAATTGGGGCAGTTCTAATCTCACCAAGCGGTTGTCATTATCCTTCCACAACACGACTTAGATTCTTTTCTACCAACAACACAACAGAATACGAAGCTTGCATCATGGGTTTGAATATGGCAATAAATCTTGATATACATGAGCTCTTAGTCTTAGGGGATTCCGACTTGCTCATTCGACAAGCTCGAGGCGAATGGGAAACTTGAGACATTAAGCTCATACCGTACAAACAATGTTTAGAAGATCTCATCAAAAAGTTCAAGTCCATTGAATTTAGATATATTCCCAGGTTTCACAATGAGTTGGATGATGCTTTGGCCACCCTAGCATCGATGCTTCCATACCCAGGTAATACCTACATTGACCCGTTGGAAATCCAAGTTAGCGATCAACATGGTTATTGCAATATAATTGCGGTAGAGGCAGATGGTGAGCCTTGGTATCACGACATAAATTTTTTTATAAAAGCTAGAGAATATCCACTACATGCTGAAAGAGATCAAAAAAGAACTATTAGGCAACTCGTCAATAGGTTCCTCTTAAGTGGCGATATCTTATATAAAAAGACTCCAGATTTGAATTTATTACGATGTGTGAATAATCAAGAGGTGGAAACAATTATGAATGAGGTACACTCAGGGGTATGTGGCCCACACAGGAATGGTTACGTCCTAGCAAAAAAGATTATTCGGGCAGGGTACTATTGGTTGACCATGGAGCGAGCCAATTTGTTCGCAAGTTCCATCAGTGCCAAATTCATAGCGACTTGATTTACTCACCCCCTTTAGAGTTGCATCCTATGTCTGCTCCATGGCCTTTTGTTACCTGGGGAATAGACGTTATTGGGCCAATAGATCCAAAATCATCTAACGGTCATCGGTTTATTTTAGTTGCCATCGATTACTTTACCAAATGGGTAGAAGCTGTCACATTCAAATCAGTTACCAAGAAAGCGGTGGTGGACATCGTTCATTCCAACATCATATGTCGTTTTGGCATACCAAAAATAATTATTACAGACAATGCAATGAATCTCAACAGCCACTTGATGAAGGAAGTTTGTGAGCAATTTAAAATTGTTCATCGTCATTCAACCCCGTATCATCCCAAAGCAAATGGGGCTGTTGAAGCTGCGAATAAGAATATCAAGAAGATTCTTAGGAAAATGGTGCAAGGATCTAGGCAGTGGCATGAGAAATTACCCTTCGCTCTCATGGGATATCGCACGACTATTGTACGTTAGTCGGTGCAACTCCTTACTTATTGGTTTATGGAACTGAGGCTGTCATACTCGCAGAAGTTGAAATCTCTTCTTTTTGAACCATTTGAAGCAGAAATCCAGGATACAGAATGGGTTAAATCGAGGTTAGAACAATTAGCATTGATAGAAGAAAAATGATTGACATCAATTTGTTTTGGTCAATTATATCAGCAGAGGATGGCTCGGGTATATAATAAGAAAGTACGCCCAAGGAATTTTGAAGTGGGTCAACTTGTTGTGAAACGTATCCTTCCCCACCAAGACGAGGCCAAGGGAAAATTTGCTCCAAATTAGCACTCCTTATCATTTTTATCATGAGAAGATAAAAATGTATCCTCTTTTATCTCAAACACCACTGGTCTGGTGCCTTAAAAAAATTTAAAAAAAAAACTAAAAAGAAATTAAAGGAAAAAAATGAAAAAAACACACGACAAGTTCATTAAACTACGTTTGACCTGATTCCTAAAAGGATACGTAGGCAGCCCTTCATTAGGGTTCGGTCTAATCACTCAATAAAAAGATAATCATGTTCTTCAGTTCTCTAAAGGTAGAGACGTTATGTTGGCAAACTATGGAGAAAATGAAGAAGAGAGTGTTGTGAAAACCCTTACGGTCACTATAAGACGATGGTTTGGTGGAAAATCATGAAAGATGTTACTGATCGAATAATGAAATTTTGTTTGGACATGAGCGCAATCATGATAAAAGTCAAGCTTAGACTGAAAGGTGCAACATTATTTCCTGAGATTCAGACAACTCGAAAAAGATCAAACGTTCGGTCCAATTGCATGTCATGTTTCAAAGTTGTCACGTACTTTCAGATAAGATTCTTTTCACTCATTTAAACATTTTCTTATTTATCTTCTACTTCTAAAGACACAATTTTCCTTCATAACCCTTTCATTCGTGTCATTATTGCTTGTGTTTCTTTGAGTTTTTATTTTTCTTTCTCAGCATCGACTCGTGTCAAGTGAGAAAATAAAATTAAATCCACAAAATTGACTACGGTATTTCCAGTTGAATGTTGGGAACATGCACCATATTGGCTAGGGCTGTGAACCTATCGAGAAAATAAATATCATAAATCGATACCGAGTGAAAATATATAAAGCAAAAGAGTCGCTTGGGAACGAATGAAACACACAACATGTACAAAATGGTGATGAGTTAAAATGTCCATGAAAAGTGTTTCAAAGAAAAGATAAGGACTGTTTTTAAAACATCTACAAGATATTCGCACAATCATCAACGGGATGAATCTTCCAAGCGGAGCGGATCCAGAAGTCAAGCTTTACAAGATATTCAAAGTCACGAACCAACCAGCATGTAGGAAAATTAACAATATATTTCTTTGACTTAAAACAGGTATAAGGCAGAATCATGTAAATAGTTTGCGAGAGACAAATGCCGCCGATGGTAAGTTCTTGAATCTTTACTTTCCATATAATATGCGTGGTAAATAATAATAGCAACACAAATGACTTTTTTTAATTGAATCTGGGGCATTTTATTTTATTTTTAGTTTGTTCAATGTACAAATAAAAATAAAATAAAATAACGATAATATTAATAATGATAATAATATAAGTGAAAAGAAGAAATGTCTTCAGAGGGCACAATAACCTCTGAGTTACATATAGGACACAATAACCCCTATCCTATTTTTCATGTCTTCACAGGGCACAATAATCCCTGGTTGCATATAGGGCACAATAACCCATGTCATTTTTTTTATATCTTTACAGGGCACAATAACCCCTGGTTGCATATAGGGCACAATAACCCCTATCATTTTTTTTCACAGGGCACAATAACCCCTGGTTGCATATAGGGCACAATAACCCCTATTCTACTTTTCTTGTCTTCATAGGGCACAATAACCCCTGGTTGCATATAGGGCACAATAACCACTATCATCATTTTTATGTCTTCACAGGGCACAATAACCCCTAGTTGCATATAGGGCACAATAACCCCTATCCTATTTTTCATGTCTTCACAGGGCACAATAATCCTTGGTTGCATATAGGGCACAATAACCCCTATCATCATTTTTATGTCTTCACAGGGCACAATAACCCCTGGTTGCATATAGGGCACAATAACCATTATCCTATTTTTCATGTCTTCACAGAGCACAATAACCCCTGGATTGCATATAGGGCACAATAACCCCTATCATTTTTTTTATGTCTTCACAGGGCACAATAACCTCTGGTTGCATATAGGGCACAACAACCCCTATTTTATTTTTCATGGCTTCAGAGGGCACAATAACCCCTATCATTTTTCTTCACAGGGCACAATAATCCCTGGTTGCGTATAGGGCACAATAACCCCTATTTTATTTTTCATGTCTTCAGAGTCCGCAATAATCTCTGGGTTGCATATAGGGCACAATAACCCCTATTTTATTTTTCATGTCTTCACAGGGCACAATAACCCCTTGCAATTTGGGTACAAAACTCCCTTTTGTCTTATTTTTTTTACATTCTGTAATAGGCTATAAAACATTATTTTTATTATTAGTATAGACTTTTATAGCTTTCATCAATAATCACAAAAATTTCTAGTGCAAACTAGGCAGAAAATTTTGTTTTTCTGTGCAGGTTTCTACACAGTACACAAAATTGCAATCCAAAAATAAAAGAATTAATCCTTTCAAGAAAATAAATTTTCAAGAATATCATGCGGAAGAGCGTCTGTAGCTGAAGTCAAGTCATGAATTTTCAAGTCTTAAACTCAGAAGTCCAAAGCAAAGTTCGGAATCGATGAACCTACACAAAGAGGGTGAAGCGATATCTGAGAATCCAAAATGAAGACTTAGCACTATCGGAATAGATAGGATTTCATATCATTCCTTCTGTATTTTGTTTTTTTTATGTAATAGCTGGAGCTACGAACCGGAATCTCGACAAAACCTCACTCGACTACCTAACTCATTGGAACTACGCCTGACTCCTTATCATCAACTTAGGATAGATAGTTTTTAAAAAAAGTTAGGAACCAGTCAAACCTCTTCTCTATTATAAATTTTACACATTTTTGCCATAAATATTTCAGTAAAAAATTAGTCACATTGTTCACGTCTTTGCATGAAAACTCTTCATGTTTTCAAGCAAAGAGGGACATACTGTGAACACCTAATTTTTTTTACCAAAATATAAAGATTCCACACCAACTTTTTTTTTAAAAAAGGTTATATTTAAAATAAGTATAAATAAATAAATTGTGTAAATTACTTTAATAATAAAAAATTATGAATTTATCGTATTTATTTTAAATCTTCAACTTTTAATTGGTTTAAAAATAATGATAGAAGAAAAAAAAAGGGAGTCCTAAATATTCAAATTACCTCCCCCTTATCCTAGTTATACCCAACTTCCTAACTTATTTTACTAAAAAATCTCATCCCATTATTTCTCTCTCTCTCTCTCTTTGGACGTTTATTTTACACATTTTTTTAATTTTTATTTTGCTAATTTTCTATTATTATTATTTATTTATTTATTTTATATCCTTATCTCAACCCAATTCCCTCAACAATATTTCAAATAAAATCCTAATCCCACTCTATTACGTTCCTTTTAATTAGCACCAGACTCTCAGCCAAATTTATTATAAAAACACGTTAAGTTGAGAAGAAAAAATATACAAAGATACAAAGAAAAACAGAGAAATACAGAGAGAAAATATATGAAGAAAAGTGAGTCATTCTTTTAAGAATTGGGTCGAGTTAGAGTTTTTTTGTCGTGGTTCTAAATTCGTGGCTCAAATCAGTAGATCATAGAAGTTATTTTTCGTGATATCCATTTTCGTAGCGAGGTAATTCTAAACTCTCGCATTATTTAAATGTAATGATGTATGAAAATTTGAATCTAATAATATGAAGTTCTTTGAATCGTATGTTATTATTATGCAATATCAATATGTGATGCATGTTAAGATTTTTTTAAAAAAAATTTCTCGATCTGAAAAACGAAACAAAAAGAAAATGTTTCTTGCAAACAAAAATAATATAAAATGAAAGATGTATCATAAATTTTTTTGTATTATTATTAGTGTCTTTTATTTTTTTTAGATGCAATTTATATTAGAATTTATTTTGTGATATTTAATAGCTAAAGTTTTTCTGGAGCCTAATTTTTCATTAAAAAATAAATAAATAAAATTTATAAACTTGTTAGATTAGGATGTAAACTAAAAATTTTAATTGATTAAGTAATTTAAAAAACTTATGTGTAATATATTTCAATTTTTTTAACACGTTATTTGAATTAAAAATTATCTTTAAAATAAGTATAAAGATAGTTATCTAATTCGAATTATTAAAGTTTATCATTGAGAGAATATATAAATATTATTTAGAGTAATAACTAAAATTAAAAATAATGAGAAAGAGTAAAAAAAAAAACAATAAAAAAAAAACAAAAGAAGAAAGCATAAAAAAAATATCAGATTTTTTATAAAAAAAAAAACAGAAACAGAAAATAAATAAAGAAAAACGTGAAAAATCTTTTTTAAAAAAAAAGAAGAGAAAAGTAGAATGAAAATAAAAAATAAAAATATAAAACTAATAAAACAAAAAGTAGATATATAAAAAAATGAACTGAAAAAAAAAGAACGTAACAAAAAGGTAACAAAAATTATTAAAAAAAAGAAAAGAGAAGAAGACAAACTTTATAAAATAATAATAAAATAAAAATAATGATAAAATCAATTAAAAAAAAAAGGAGAGTCACAAATTTACAGAAAATTATAATATATATATATATATATATATATATATATATATATATAATTTAAAATAAAACATTCCTAATTTATTTAGAATTTCTTTGTAAAAACTAACTTCAAATCTTATAAACTTAATTTATTTTTCTTATTTTTATCTAGTAAATAAATAAATATATATTCCTAAATTATCTTGAACTCAAAAATCTCTTTTTCGCATGAACTCTAATTTGTAAAAAAAATCTATA